GCTTTAGACCACTGAGCCATCTCTCCAGCCCCAAAATACCTTTCTAAATTAAAAAAAATTATTGTTGGGACCGAGGCGACAGCTCAGTAGAGTAAGCGCTTGCCTGGGAAGTGGAAGAGCCTGAGTTAAATCCCCGGTTGGGGGTGGGGGGGAGATTTTATTGTTGTTTTACATTTGACTGAAGCAAGTTTTTTTGTTTTGTTTTGGTCTTGTTGAGGTAGGGTTTCTCTGTGCAGTTCAGGCTGGTCTTAAGCTCACTTTGTAGTCCAGGCTGGCCTCAAACTCACAGCAATGCTCCTGCCTCAGCCTCCCAAGTGCTGGGGTTAGATGTGTGCACTACCAGTCCCAGCCTTGAAGCAAGTTTTTATTCACTTATCTTGCAGTGCCAGAGGTCAAACCACTGGCCGCACTGAGCAAACACCCTGTCACTGAGCTCACTTCCACCAAGAAATGTCACAGTATCATATAGCAGAAGTAGTGGTTATCATTTTCCATGATCTCTTACTGACATTTATGGAGTAAGAGTCACAGGAACACTGTTTTTTTGTTCTTTGATTGAACTCAGATCCTTGTGTTTGCCAGTCAAGCGCTTATCCTACTGAGCCATCTCCCCGGCCCCCCACAGGAACACTGTTGCACCGCGTGGCTAAGGGCTTCACAGAGGAACACGGCAAGGCTTCCTTGCATCTGAAATGGAGATGGGAAGAGAGGCTTGTCAGTAATGCCACTGGTCCTTCTAGTTTTTCTTGCTTAAAGAGAGGTCTCATTTTAATCACAGCAGGTAAACAGGAAAACATAGTCTATTTTTTGCAGCCGAGTACAGTCAGGAGAAGGTACTCCCCTGCCATGAGAGTCAGCCGCAGGCGGCCCCACAGACAGCCCCTCCATACCACAGAGCTGGCACATGCAGTGTAGGGCAGGAGGAGGTTGCCCCTGAGCTTGAAGACAGTCCCTGCTCAAAGTGTGCTTGAACTTATTTGAACTGAATTTAGTCCTCACGAGTGTTTTGATTGTGCTTTAGGTTGCGATTGTGGCTCAGGACCTTGCAGCGTTCCACACAGCCTCCTCGGAGATGGGTCACCAGCAGCAGCACAGCCATCACTTGGTCACCACGGAAACCAGGCCTCTGACCCTCGTGGCCACCTCCAACGGCACCCAAATCGCAGTGCAGGTGAGGACCAGGGGAAGCTGCACTCAGGGACATGGTGCCTATGGCTCTGAACCTGGCACACTGGGCTTTGTGACCTCCAGGAGGGCGGGGGTGCCTCATCATCTGGATACCTGTCAGATTCAAGGGAGATTTCTACATTTGAGGTGGTCGCAACAAGATCTACGCTGTTGTTTACTAGCGTAGTCTGTGTTCTTGGGAGAATTTACTGTAAGACAGAATCTTTGGGCATGTGTCTCTATGCATGCCCACAGCGGCCCTTTGCCCTCAAGTAATCAGGCTACATTCTGTCAAGCACTTAAGGGCAGCTCCTTGGAGAGTTTTCTCTACACTTACACAACTGAATAAATACACACCATATATCAGTCTCTGAGAATCACTGCACAGCTCTGTCTCAAAGTGAGGAAGTAGGGCTGGGGAGATGGCTCCATGGTCTGAGCGCCGCCAGGCAAGCTCAAGGACCCAGGATCGATCCCTGGTACCACAGTGCTGGTATGCCATGCCTGCCACCAAAACCAGGTGTGGTGGTGCAAGCCTATAATCCTAGTGCTAGGGAGGCTGAGACAGGAGAATCACTGCAAGTCTAAGCTGCTTTATTTTTTATTTTTATTTTTTTATTTTTGGTGGAACCAGGGATTGAACTCAGGCCCTTGCATTTGCCAGGCAAGCACTTATTCTACTGAGCCATCTCCCTGGCCCCCCTAAGTCTAAGCTGCTTAGTAAGACCCTATATCTAAATAAATAAAAGATTTTTAAAAAATCCTTAAAAAAGGGCTGGGGAGGTGATGGTGAGATGGCTCAGTGGTCTAAAGCACCTACTTAGAACAAGCTTAGCAAAGCACAGGGACC